ACTGGCAAAGGAATCATGCAAAACGAAACATACCATTACTTGTGAGAACCACTGATGATGAACCCCGACGATCCCCTTGCATCACAAAAAATGGTCTGTTTCTAGTAACACACAAGATCTTTGAATTTGTAGTAGTGTCCTAGTGTATAAAACCCCTAGTGTTTCTCTGTTAATGCTTGATGTTGTTCTTTTTCCAACTTACCATGATACTGTCATGAAGTCTAACCATATCACGAGCATCGATACTGCTCGAATCTTCTGGCTCTCTCGCAGAATCATTATATTCTTGTACTGACTCATTTTCGCCATATGGATTTTCCTACAAAGATAATATAATCAAAATTTCATGTGTAGAAGAATAGTTGTATTGAACTTTAGCCAGAGAAAGAATGTCAAGTTTATTCTGTGCTAAGCAAGGCTATTTCTTCTGCCATCTATTACATGTACGCGACGCTGGAAGCTACTAAACCAAGTCTGTTGAAATGAAACCCCATTAAAGGGCAATTATAACCCAAACATTTTTATGAATATTGACGAAAACTTCACGTGCCGCAGCGAAATTTTACTTAAGGAGGGACTTTACTCCCCTAATGATATATATTTCTTTGATACCAGTTTGTAGAGCAAATGAAACTGCATATAATCTGAAATTTTCTCAAGGGATGGACGTGTTTTGACAGAGTTAGCCCTTTCACAAATTATATGCCTTTATGCACTCCTTGCCGGTATAAAATTTTGGAAAATTTTCAGATACAAGTTTTAGACTTAATTCCGATATAATTAGATAGAGTCACAAGAATTGTATCTGTGATAAAATTTTTGCGATTATAAAACGACTACTCTCCGAGAAATACTGGTTTTCTTATAGAGTACGTTTTTCACTATCTAAAAGTATTTTTTGGAAACCTTGCCTAAAATCTCAGAAATATAGCACACTAAAATAAAAATCTGTTGTATCCAAAAGATGCGCCATCAAATTCTACGCATAGTGAGCGGAGCAGAATTTTCATTTTGAATAGCTTTTACAAACGAAAAACCAGCTTTCGTACATGTTCGAAAACAGGAAAAACGTTTCTTTACAGCTAAGGTTGTTTCTAGTACATTTTTTGTTTCGGGTCAAATACATAGTTAGAAGTTATATAACATTCGATAGAGAATTTCACTGGTTTCGAAATAAGCTATAAGTAAGTCTTTCAAAAATATGCCAACATGGTAGTCGAAATACTTGGCCGATATAATGATTTTCATCTATCTTGGTGTTTTAAACACATCTGTAGTCATTTTTCTGCCGTACTAAAAAATTACATATTTTTCAAAAGCATACCATTGGATAGCCCTTGAAATTCCCTATAAAGTGAGCTGGTCAGAATATCCAGACAGGCGGAGCCAATCATTAAAGATATGAAAAAGAAGCGTTTGTGTGTTATCCATGCAGCACAGTATGGTTTTTTTCTCTGTCAAGAATAAGTTTTTTCCAGATTTTAATCTCATACTCATTATTAGCGTTAAATTCTGCGTCTAGTGATGTGTCACGTAACCACTTTCAAGAAAAAACAATTTTCGATGTTACAAAGGAGGACCTCAGCCTTATAATTTTTGAATAAAATGAAAATGAGTTTTTTGAAAATCTGAAGCGACAGTTTTCTTCAGAATTTGATGCTGATTTCAACCATGTAATTTTTATTCAAAAAAAATTGAGGCCACAAAACCGCCTTATCCGCTTCCGTCCTTTTACCTTCAATTTCCTAAGGCTATTACCTGAAAGGCATATTAAAAATTTAAAAGATTAGAGAGCTTGAGCATGTCTTGAATTTTTTCGAACGTTCTTATCACGTCTAGACTAGTTAGTGTTAAAAACCGAAAAAAAAGCAGCTTTTTATCAAAAATCAATGAGCATTACTGTAGACCAAAACATCTAGTAAATGAACTTTGCCATAAGTATTTATGCGTAAATTGAAATCTCCCAACCCCGGCAACGTGTGATTCTAGTTAACTAACTTACCAGCGAACTTTCCATTATAGCTTAAAATGTTTTAATCTACAACTTTCTCTTAAATAATAATAAGGATAGGTACTTTATCGTCAGTAATAGTGTAGCCTACTTCACCGCAATAATCGGTAAGATAGCTTTCCTGAAAAACAAATCTCCCCGGGAGCAATGAACAGATTTTACTATAAGCTTTCAGTTAAGTCGATCATTCTCCTCTAAAGTTAGAACACAAAATTTCCATTAAGAGTGGATGTTGAGCTAAGTTCCCACTTTCGCGAGGGAACTTCAGAGGTAAAGGTATTTTGAAAACAGCCTTACGGTTAATTTTGCTCGAAGGAAGCATTTTAAAGCAAAAGTTTGGGTACAGAAGTTGTTTAGAATCGTATTCTAGAGTTCGACAAAAGATTTTTTCGGAATTTTTGTTTTTTAAAGTTTAAAATGTCTACTGTTTGTCTACTCGGATATATAAAAATCCAAGACTTTCATATGCGAACTCTGAAAACGATTCGATAAAAGCCAAACACATTTCTTCCATGAAATAAGGTACATCCACTTTATCACTATAGTATGAAAAAATTATAAATATTATAATAGCGTTCTAGCAGTTAAAAAGAAGGAGATTGATTCTCATTCATTCTAGTCTCTTTCTCATCCTTTTTCTCTGTCTATAACTCATTTTCAGAGAATCAATTTCATTCTTTTTAACTAATAGAGCTCTAATATCAAGTTTTTCTATTCTATTAACTGCAGACCTACCCTACATACATCATTCATCGAGTGAATGAATGTATGAACTGCACAAGCATTTTTTCTCTTTTCGTTCTTTTAAGAGAGGATCCGTGAGAGAATCGAGCATATCATAAGAGGGGTGTCACATGAAAAATTTTAGATTTCAATCTAACTACGCCTATTCGATAGCTCATGTTGAGAAACCTCTATAGCCAGATTTTTAGGCCAAACAAAACATTTTTCACCGAGACATGTGATTTCCAAAAAAGACGAAATGACATTTCGTCATCGACATGCCTCTATATAATATTAGTCATTTTTGCGAAACGATTGCATAGATTTTCTTTTGCTTATAATAGAGCCTTAGCGTATAGCACATTTTAATGCGGTGCATATGTCGACATTCAGACGCATCTGTTATGATAGAACGAAAAAACATCCTTTTCTTTCCTTCCACATAGGCTACCCAATGTCACATTTGTATTCCTATATGCGAATAAAAAAGATGTGCTATACGCTAAGGCTCTAATGCAAAAGTGAGTTATACATAGAGAAAAAGGATGAGAAAGAAAATAAAATAAATGAGAATCAATCTCGTTCTTTTCAGCTGCTACAGCTCTATTTAAACTATAGTCTGATTACAGTAAAGACCATTGAACAATACTCTTTTACACTCTTGGCTTCTATGTTTCAATATCAGCAATAATTCTTTTCAGCATGTGATTATATATATTTCATCAAAGGGAATATAAAAGAGATATTTCAAATAAGACGCATGTGTAAAAACACACAAAACAAAACAAGAACTTCTTGCTTGGATAACTATTACTTTCGAAAAGGGGAACTAATATATGTGCACATACACACACCGCACAAAAACAACAAAAAAACAAACAATCAAGACCAAGGTCAGAAAATAAGGTCCTTTGGTATCTTTGCGAACACCAAAGCACACGACTTTCATATTTGATCCATCATTTGATGCAAAGGATGATACAGTTCAAAACCAAGATCTAAAAAGCCATTGTAGCGATCGGTCGCATCACGCATCAATTCTGGAAAATCAGGTGAAATCTATCATAAGAATAATTTCACATACTGTAAAAAAGGAGTATAAATAAAATGGCAATATACCTTATCGCAACGAGTTCAATCGGCATGCCATTACCGGTTTCGACCTTCGTTAAAGGGTCTCATCTAGTGGCTTATGAATGGCAAATCTGAGTAGAGGAAAGTCTTGCAAATCTAACAGTATAAAATATTTTAAATTGCTCCGAAAAATGACTGTCGAGGGAAGGTCCCCAACTGTCCGATCGCTTTCGAGCCGAAACCTAGTGGACTATAGGTAGTCGACCATGCTGATTCCGAATATCAACATGAGACGTGCTGCTAGGCCTCCAGAGAGTGGTTTTCTG